ACTCAGTGAGTGGGAACAGGGACCCGATGAGTCAGAGTCGGGCTAGACATAGAAGGACTCGGCGAGTCGCCATATGGACTCGGCGAGTCCAGTCAATCAGGAGGTTGACTTTGACCAAGGAGTTGACTTTGACCAGTCATTTGACCTTAGGGGTATTTATGAGTACCTAATCCATGTTTACGGATTTATAGCCGGAGGGATCACCGGTGCGGCAGCCAGGCGTAGTCTGAGCAGGTTTTTCAGCAGCTACTCTCGAGGTGAGTTTCTTTCCAGTAGGGACGGGTCTAAGGCACCAAGGCCGGCCCGTATAGACGATATGTTAGTATCAGAGTGTGGGCGGAGCCCGTATCTCATAGCTGAGTTTGATTGTGATATATGCCAGTATGATAGAATTGCTTATACTTGTTGTCTGTGTGATACTTGTATATTATGGTTTAGTGGCGGAGTGTGGGCGAGGCCCGTATCTCCATGGATAGCAGAGTGTGGGCGAGGCCCGTACCTCTCAGAAAGTAAAGTGTGGGCGAGGCCCGTATCTCTATGGGTGTGGGCGAGGCCCGTATCCCTTAGCTATTCATTATAAGATTGCATGGTATGTGGCATTATGGGGGAACTCACTAAGCTTCGTGCTTACGTTTTATAGTTTTGTTTTCAGGTACCTCTTCAGCAAGGGGAAAGGAGTCGGCGCGGTAGCGGCATATCACACACTCGCATGTTTTCCGCACTATGGATTTTCTGGGATGTACTCTGAATATTTTACCATGATGTTACCGGTTCTCAGACATAAATTAATATTATGAATGTTTTGTAACGATGTTTTATGTATTAACCTGATTTAAAAATGAAATTTTTTTAGCTGGTATTTTTGGGAGGTTACACTACCTCTCATGTGTCAAACCTGAAGAAATGTTTGTCTGATGAGACCCTTGTCATTCCTTTGGAAGAAATTGAGATCAATGAGAACCTCCACTTTGTAGAGGAACCTGTTGAAATCATGGACCGAGAGGTCAAATCGACGAAAAAAAGCCGCATTCCCATCGTAAAGGTCTGGTGGAACGCCAAGCGAGGACCCGAATTTACTTGGGAACGTGAGGACCAAATGAAACAAAAGTACCCACATCTATTCCCCAACCCTTGAAGTCCCACTCAAAATGAAAATTTCGGGACGAAATTCCTTCTAACGGGGGGATAATGTGACAACCATCAAATTCCAGCCAAAGTCAAAGCCAACAAGTCAAACTGGTCAAACTGAACTTGTACTTTTATGATAAAAGTTATTCTATGTATAAAAATGTGCATTTGTATGTCAAAAATCCAAGTGTCTCGGAGAATCTATGTGTTTATCAATGTGAAAACCCTAAGAAGGGAGTTAAACGCATTAAAACACGACTATGGACCCTTTTGGGGACGTAAAACAATCATAAAGAAGCATAACGGGGTTCACGAACCTTGCATTACAAGATTATGCGATAATAATGGCTAAGGTTAAATCTCTCCCAAATCTCTCCAAGTATGTGAAATCTCTCCCAAATCTCTCCCAAAATCTCTCTCAAACTTTTTATAGTCATCCGGGTCGTCCCGACCCTTAACTTGGCCAAAAATCACGCAAAACGGGAAATTAAATGGAAAAATAGCAAAATAGGGCTGAAGCCTCTTAGGAACCGAACCCTTCTAATAGGACCGAAGTCCCCTCAGGACCGAACCGAGCTGTCAGAAGCGAACTTAGCCATCTCGAACCGAAATGAACCGAGCTTCGCCTTCGCTTCCCTTCTTCCTTCGCCTTCGCTCCATTTCGCCCCCTCGCACCTTCGCTTCATTTCCCTACCTTCGGCTCCTTGTTTCCCTTCTCTCGGTTCTCACTCTCTTAGAGCCGAACCTCGCAGGTTCGGTCTATATTGCCCGGTTTTCGACTACTTTCGCTTCCTAAGCCCGTTTTTGACGGGATTTTTTCACCAAATTCATATTTTTACCATTTTTAACCCCCAAAAGTCATATTTTATTTATTTTTCAAGGACTATTAATTAAAATCATTATTTTATATTGAGAGGAGTATTCTACCCCACAAGTGGGTCAAGTGTGCCCACTTGCCTCCATGTGTCATCCTCTCATTAGCCACCTTATCCACATCACACAAACCAAGGTACACATCACTTCAAACTCACAACTTGCTCTAGCAACTTCTATATAAAGAAATCCCTGGAGGATTTCTTTGTTCACTTTGATCAAATCCTTCACTTACACACTTCTCATACCACCTCAAGAAAGCTTCTTTTCTCTCTACTTCCCACCACCTTGTGCTAGTGTTCTTGAGTTGCTACTGCACTTTTTGGTAAGTATTCCATCTAAACTCAAGTGTTATTCCATAATTTCATAACACTCTTGGATCATCGACTCATATCTTAACACCAAAATCATTCTTAGGGTCATCCGAGCTTCCATGTGTTCATCAAGTGTTCTTGAATTGATACTCCTCGACTTCAACCTTCTACTCCTTTAGAAATCACTCAAGGTGAGTTCATACCCTTACATTTTCAAGTTTTTTTTAGTTTTCAAGGGGGGAATACAAGTTAAAACACCAAAATATACTTAAAACTTAACTTGACAGCTTACAACAGAAAAGTTGTGACCTGTTCACAAACTGTTTTACCCAACTTAAACTTAATATTTTTCAAAACTGTTTAATATGCATGTATTTCAGGTTTATACCTTTAAAATGACTACATGCACATCTCCATACGATTTTTCTACAATTTATGGTGATTTTTACAAAACTACCTATCACTGCAGCATCAAAGTCGTACCAGGTTGTGAAGATGAACATTTTCACCCTGGTTTGAGACCACCAAAAATTATAGGAAAATTTATGGATATAGTAGACTCTTTTTCCAAATACTCAGAGTTTATGGATTCAGTTTTCGACTTACGATGATTTTTCTATAAATATTCTAAAAACAGTGACAGTTAAGGGTAAAACTGTCAAATACATGTTTAAGAGTTATTCACACCTTGTAACATGCTGAGCAAGGTGTGTACGATTTACACTTAATATTTTAAATGTCATTTTATGGAAATACAAAGACATGCATAACAAGGTTTCATTCAAACACACAACATTTTTAATAAACTATAATAGGTATAGTTTGAGCACTTCGTTTGACAAAGAAAACAATAACTCAATCGACTTACAAAACAAGTATTTCATTACACACTACGTGAACTTGTTAATAAATAAATTTGTGAGACATTCTCCTTCGGGGTACGCTTAAGTACCACAGTAAAGTCATGTAGTTATAATCAGAATCTCATGGAGGGAGAGCGTGATAGTTGTGTATAGATCTATATTGGGTCTGACAAACACGCACTTAAGCTGCTTGCAACAGCTAGACCGGCAGGTCTATGGTGACAAGTGCCATAACATTTCGACGCCTGAAGAACGTCGAGTACGAGGTCTTCGAGTTTTTAGTATGGTTATAACATCTCACATGAGAAATTAACAAAACACTCAGTTCACGGGAATTTAAAGAGTTTTATTTAAATATAAAACCACACACATAAGTATGACGATTTACTTACATGTACTAAGTCTTGGTTCCGATAAGACTACAACAAACTTTTAGAAAATATTGGATTTTCTGGAAACAAACTTGTAACAAACAGAAAGGAACATCATTCATTTTTATTCATAAATTTGCTTATGAACTCACCAGCTTTATGCTGATACTCTTTCAAAACAACTTGTATTCTCAGGTAATCAGTAAAACAAGTAACCACAAGATTTCTGAAGTCAAGACGCTAAGGCGTAGATTCTTTTGCTATATTTTGACACCATATGTAATTTATTTGGAAAACATGTACTTTTGAAACGATGTAACCTTTTAAATTATATTTATGACGGTTGTGTTTACTTTCTTCACTATGGTTATGATACTGAGCATGACGTCCTCCGCCCCCGAACGTTTCCGCCGTTCTGGTTTGGGGGTGTGACAACCGACCAAACAATCGAAACCGACTCATACATTATATAACTTATTTAATACATTGAATGTATTATTAATAGTTATTTTGTAATAACTTAATGAGTTGAAACCGAAAAACGTATATGTTGAAACCAAAAAGCAAAACTCATCAACCCATGGGTTGTAACCGAAAACTCAATGGGTTTCAAAAGCCAAAAACCGAACTTGTTGGTTTGAGGTAAAATTTACTCTAAAACCCACCTAAATGGGCCTAAACCGACTAATGCTCAACCCATAAGGGGCGCGGATGGAGGGGCAAAGTAGGCAGCTGCACAAGGTCTAATTTTTTTGAAAGCCAAATTTTTTTTATTAAGTTATATATGTATATATATTTATTTGGAAATAAAAAATGATTTATAATAGCGAGAATGATCATTTTTATCTGGTTCGTCCAAGGTATTTGAGGATATTTTAATCCTCAGGACCGGCCCTGGCTCAACCCTAGTTTTAATGAACACAAAAATCATGGTGACTTTTGTTGTCATTAATTTATGAAAGTTTTAATTTGTTTTAACTTACAGGGAAAAAGAAAAACAACATTAGATGCATAAAATCATGTTTTGGGTACATCTTTCGGCAAGAAAAAGAACGGAAATATACTATACATTTTAGTCCAAGTTGACTACTATCACTCGTTTTTATCAAAAAGATGTATGATTTTTTTAAGATATAAATTATTAATATTTATAGTTGGAGTCTCGGTTAACCATTTTTATTATTTATTTTAATTTGTTAAATTGACTAATAATCAAACTAAAATAATATAATCAATATGATTAATGGCTCTAATCATACAAAAAGAACATGGATTTGTTACCTTTCGAGCACCAGCAACTCCATAACAAAAGCACTAAAAGTTACACGACTTGACATATTCCCCATAAGCTTAGATCAATAACCACTCCACTTTGAAACCAAAACCACTATGACATCCTCTCGCCTATTTATCCATCTAAAAATAGTGCACAAAATCCTCTTAGTCTCTCCATGGGACTACCAAAACCCCCCTCCAACTTAACATCTCTAGCTTCTTTCTTCTTGTTACTCTTCATCACCATCCACCAATCACTTTCGGCACGAACCCTTGGCGGTTTTCCATCACCGCCACAACCCCCACCAAAGAGCCACCACCACCATCATAAGACAATGAGTTTCTACATGCCAAATGTTCTAAATTTGAACTTACAACACCCCTCAACCACACCACCACCAACTAAAGTCAACGGTCAAACCATTCCCTTTTCGAAACCGTTAGGCCTTTTTCCACCGGTAGGAGGAATCCCTATTCTTGATTCCAATTTCATCCCAAGGCAAACATCTGGCTTGTATGGATTTGGAAGTGGGATAAGCTTTCCTATCCTCGAAGATGAATTGGAATTTGGTATGGTTAACATAATTGATGTTGACTTATTAGAAAGCACAAATATGTATGGCTTGAAGCCTTTTGGGAAAGCGAAAGGGATGTATGTCTCTAGCTCAGAAAACAGAAATAACCAAATGATGGCGATGAGAACAAGCTTTCTTAACAATGATTTTGCAGATGAGTTGAGATTTTTTGGAGTGCATCGAGCAGATGTAAATCAGGAGTCTCATGTTGCAATCATTGGAGGCATGGGGAAATATGATGGTGCCAACGGATACGCAACATTAAAGGTTGTTAAACTAAACCAGAAAGCTATAAAAGAAGATGGGGAGACAAATGATTTTCTTTTGGTAGATATTTACCTAGGTTGAGATATCGGTAAATACATCGACACATACTGATTTTTCATACAATTAAACAAATAATATCATATGTACACCTAAAATATTGTATTCTTAGACAATAATGTTAAGCTATGAGAAATTTATTGACTGATAGTAACTATCAATTGTAAAATGAATTCGTTCATTTGTGTTTATCCAAATGCTTGAAAGTTTATTTTTAATAATTTAGATGTTCACTTGAGTTTTGCTTTTTCATTGTTAAAGATACAATAAGAGACGGATAATACTTAATAGATTTTTCATCGCAAGTCGTAGATTGAACAAGTAAAATATATACACTTGAACTTTACTTTACGTTCAAGAAGTCTGTATTTCTAAAAATTAAATATTGTAGTCATAAGCAAGTCACGTCATTGGTTTTCTTGTACACATTTGACTACAAATCTCTTGGTTAATGTATATTTTGTTTAAAAAAGTATGTTTACTTATATATTGATATGTCATTCTATTTGCTATGGTTGTTAAGTTTGAATGATTATCATAATCAGATATGCATGAATATGCTTTATACTTTATCTGTTGGTTTTGATAGCAATGACAAATGCAACTTTTGCAGTGACGTATCCATGATTTTATTTTAAGATAAACCAAATAGTTGTCAAAATATAAAATGAATGTAAGAATTCTTCAAATGATAACTAACATATAACTATATATGCATTTTAAACCAAAATTTTAATTCAAGTTGCATACGATGTTGTCTTATATCATTAAAATAATGTAAAATCGAGTCTAATCGATATAGGCAATAATGATTTCCATTCTACTAATTTCAAGTTTTGAATGAGATAGATCATATCACAACCCTAATTCCTTCTATAAATCCTTTTATTTAACACACACACACACACACACATATATATATATACCTCAAATTTGTATGGGTAGGTCAAGACTCACTCTTGCACCTATATGGCTACGCTCCTTGCATGCGTATACTTTTTTTGTTAACTACTTCTTTAATATTTTACCAGAAGATGGGCCGATAGATTCATTTTTTTTACTTCGGATTCGATTAGTATACATGTAAATAAGGTTTTGTTTGTTTCATGATACATACAAGAATATTAAAATGATAAAATCGTATACACAACACAAAGTTTTACCGTAAAAAATATGTATCATTTTCATCCAATCTAACCAAAATAACATAGGCCGAAAGATCTTCAATGGAAAATAAATACTAGCAAGGAACTAGCCTTTAGAAAAGTTACAAGAATTTGATTTGGTTCTTTAAACCAATCATACCATCCAATAACCTTTAAACTTACTACAACGAAACGCAAGTCAGGAAAAGAACATTGTGGTAACTAAATTAAATAAATGCTCTAAACATGTACGACCTTCCTCAAAAGTCATGCCTTTTCGATGCATCAATAAAAAGCTAAATAACATATAAAAGACAGGTTGTGTGATCAAATCATTGCTTTCGTAATCCTGAAAGTCGATCGAGTTAGACCATCCAATCAAAGTCACCAAAGTCATAGACTACGAATTTGTAATCCCCCAACAATGGCTAATCTGTACAATTAAGAGGCTGAGTTTTTACTAATGAATTCGTAGGGTTTCTACTTTTCTATATTCATCAAAACAGAGAATACATGTGTATATATACAGGGAAGTAGACTACCAGCTAAACTATAATACAGCCACAATAATAGGGATATACAACAAACAGTAAACAGCTCCTGTAATCACGTTTAGTAGTTATTTGCTCTCGCCAACACTCCCCCTCAAGGTGGAGAATGTATGTCCATCATTCCCAGCTTGTCTAGAGAGCAATTGAACACTCTCCCACACACAACTTTCATTAACATATCTGCAAGTTGATCATTTGAGTGCACGTGTGGTAACTCCATTGTCTTCTTTTCTAGATGATCTTTGATAAAGTGTCTGTCAATTTCCACATGTTTCGTTCTGTCATGTTGTACCGGGTTATTTGCTATTTTTACTGCAGCTTCATTGTCACAATGTAACTTCATTGGTGACCCTAACTCGATGCGCAGGTCTCTCATAATTCGTTTTATCCACAAGAGTTCACAAATCCCATGGACCATACCTCTAAACTCTACTTCAGCGCTTGAACGTGCTACCACCTTTTGCTTTTTTACTTCTCCATGTTACTAGGTTTCCACCAACAAATGTAAAGTACCCTGAGGTAGACTTTCCGTCTGTACGATCTCCTCCCCAATCAGCGTCTGTATACCCCATCACCTCATGGCTCGAGTTTCTTCCAAAAAATAACCCTTTGCCCGGAGATGCCTTGAGATACTTAAGTATTCGATATACTGCATTCATGTGAGCTTCACTTGGTGATTGCATGAAGCGACTAAACACGCTCACAGCATAGGCTATATTTGGCCTAGTGTGAGACAAATATATAAGTTTTCCAACCAGCCTTTGATACCTATCTTTATTTGCCGGAACTTGGTTCGGGAGTATAGCAATTTTGTGATTCACTTCTATTGGGGTTTCTGCTGGCTTGCAGTCAAGCATTCCTGTTTCAGTTAGCAAATCGAGTACATATTTCCTTTGACACATTGAGATTCCATATTTTGACCTAGCTACTTCAATGCCCAAGAAGTATTTTAGACTTCCTAGGTCTTCCAGCTCAAATTCTGTGGCAAGTAGAGTTTGGAGATTCTTCATTTCTGTTGCGTCATTTCCAGTTATCACCATATCATCTACATATACAATAAGAGCTGTTATTTTTCCATTGTTTTTGACAAACAAGGTGTGATCTGCATCGCTCTGTTTGTACCCAGCTTTCTTCATGAAATTTGAGAATCGACCAAACCATGCTCTAGGTGACTGTTTTAATCCATATAACGCCTTCTTCAATCTACACACTTTCCCACCACATTCCATGCCTGGAGGAGGTTCCATATACACTTCTTCGTCTAAGTATCCGTTTAGGAAGGCATTCTTAACATCGAACTGCCTTAGAGGCCAATCTTTATTTGCTGCAATGGACACTAAGATTCGAATTGTGTTCATCTTAGCAACAGGTGCAAATGTATCTCCATAGTCAATTCCATATTTTTGAGTATAGCCCTTGGCCACTAGTCTTGCCTTATATCGACCTATGTTACCATTTTCATCAAGTTTCACAGTGTATATCCACCTGCACCCTACAATCTTCTTTCCAGGAGGGAGATTCACCATTTCCCAAGTTTGATTCTTTTGCAATGCTCCCATTTCTTCATTCATCGCATCTTTCCATCTTTTGTCTTTGACAGCTTCTTGAACTTCATTTGGTATAATCACAGTTGACAGTTTCTCCACCAGTAATGCATGAGTATTTGCTAATCGATGTGCTGACGCGTAATGGTTAATGGGATATTTCGACTTTTCCTTGAGGTCTGCAACATATTGTTTCTTTGGAACTCCTCGGGTGCTTCTGATTGGAAACCTTGGTTCACGTTCATCACTGATTTCCTGCAAAATAGAATCATATGACGATGCGTCTGGAGTGTTAGACATAACAGATACCTCTTGATTTTCGATACTGGTGACTGGTTCGAAATCAATGGTATCAGCGGTGGTTGTACTATCTTTTGCTTCCACATTACCATACTCGTCTTCCTGATCATCAAACGTTTGATGATGCCAATGATAATGATCTTCGTCTCCATCACTGTTATCGTTTTCATCATCTCCAGGAGTGTCAAAATACAGACCAGGTTCTATATTCTCGTGTGTGTCTGCTGCACTTTCCTTCTCCCCCTGAAGCGGGCACTCACATTCAAAGTATGGTAGCATCTCATGAAAGACTACATCTCGAGTAATGTATATCTTATTTGTGGTTGGGTCATAGCACATATACCCTTTCTTTTGATCTGCGTACCCGATGAAGATACATTTAACCGCTCGGGGTTCCAATTTTCCCACGTTTTGATGGACATATACAGTACATCCAAATATCCTTGGTTCAAGGCCATTACTTTCTGGTAGATTTGATATTTCTTGGGCCTTCTGTAATGGAGTTTTAAAATCGATGACACTTGATGGTGTTCTGTTCATGATATAGGCTGCTGATCGAACCGCTTCACCCCAATATTTCCGTGGAACATTCATGTCAAATAACGAGGCCCGGATAATTTCAAGGATTTGTCTGTTTTGTCTTTCAGCTAGCCCATTTTGTTGGGGAGTTCTAGCGCATGAAGTTTGGTGTCGAATTGCATTATCTCGACAGAATTGTTTCATTTCATTACTCGTATACTCTCCCCCATTATCGGATTGCAGCACTTGTATTTCTTTTCTGTATACGGTTTTTATTACTCGATATAATTCCTTGAATGCATGGAATACTTCTCCTTTTGTTTTGAGGAGAGATATCCAAATCATACGAGTACACTCGTCTATAAATGTTACAAAGTAGCGTGCATCATTAGGGGTAGAGACCCCTGCTGGTCCCCATACATCCGAATGAAACTTTAAAAATGGAATAGTGGTTTTATTATCACTTGGAGTGTATGAAATTCGTTTGTTTTTTGCTAACTCGCATATTTCACACTTAAACTCACTTTCCAATACATTTAAAAACAAATTTGGTTTAAGTTTCCTAAGATAACTGAATGAGAGATGTTCGAGTCGGCGATGCCACAACCGTGCCACAGACTTATTCGCTTGTTTTACTCCAGTGAGGTTTGCTTGACCTTCTTGATGACTTTCTTCAAGATAGTACAACCTCCCGCGTCTAGTACCATAACCAAGAATCCGATGAGTCGTTATATCCTGAAAAACACATTCATTTGGCCAGAAAATCACATAGCAATTTAGAGCTTCAGTAATTTGACTAACTGATAATAAATTCGATGATAATGAAGGGACTACAAGAACTTTGTCAAGATCCATGGTGCTTGATACTTTTACTGGGCCTTCACCAGTTACAGGTGCCCTACTTCCATTTGCAGCACATATGTTTTCCTGTTTGGGTTTATATGTTTTTAATAGTTTTGAGGGATCATTAGTCATGTGATCTGATGCCCTGGTATCAATTATCCAGTCATCTTTCAGTTGATAACAGTGAGACTTACCGATATTTGTGGACGTGTGGGCAGCCATAGGAGTTGTGGTTTGAGACTTCGCTTCTTCAACTATTGATGATCTAGCTACAGATGCATGTACAAATTTTCTTCTTGGATTCTTTGTGAAATCCCACCATTCAGGGTAGCCAATGAGCTCATAGCATTTGGCCTTTGAATGCCCCTCTTCTCCACAGTGTGTATAAGTAAAGGTATTACCTTTTCCATTCGAGTTCTTTCCTTTGAAGGGTCGATTACGAGTAGTCAGGTTCACTACGCTATCTGCTTCGACTTTGGGCTCTTCCATGGTTAGTCTTTGATTGTGGTCTTTTCGGATGTAGGCATAACATGCCTCCAAGCTTAGAGGTGGATCCTTCCTTAAAATCTCACTCCTGGCTTGAGTAAACTCTGAATCCAACCCAGCTAGGAAGATGCGTACACGAAATCAAGATAAGGTTTTGTTTGCTGCCACCATTTCTGCGACAGTCTCTTCCTATACAGTTAGACGGGTGTCAATATCTTGAAACAGGCTTACCAGTTCATTATAGTATGTTGGCAAGGATCTTCCATTTTGGCAAGTACTAAACGTCTTTCTATTTAATTCGAAAAGTTGAGTTTCATCGGTTCCATCATAGAATGTTTGGTCTACCGCCTCCGAGATCTCGGCTGCAGTGGAAAGACGGATGAATCGGCGGATGAGGGATGGGCTCATTGAGTCGATCAACCAACTCTTGACTCTGTTATTATCGATCAGCCAAGCTTCGATCTGTTTTTCGTCTCCAGTAGGTTTCTCAGTTTTCCCTGTGATATACCCTGATTTGTTTCTCGCTCCAATCCTCATCTCCATCAATTGAGACCAAAGAGGGTAATTCGTGTCATCTAAGATGACTCCGGTGGGAAAAGGTGCATCTTGCACGTTTTGTACGATTACTTGAGATGTGCCAGACGGACCTCCTTTATCACCCATTACAGCGGTTCGATTTCAGAACTTTTCCCCCTTTTTTTGTTGGTACGCTCTGATACCATGTACAATTAAGAGGTTGAGTTTTTACGAATGAATTCGTAGGGTTTCTACTTTTCTATATTTATCAAAATAGAGAATACATGTGTATATATACAGGGAAGTAAACTACTAGCTAAACTATAATACAACCACAATAATAGGGATATACAACAAACAGTAAACAGCTCCTGTAATCACGTTTAGTAGTTATTTGCTCTCGCCAACATAATCTTCGGCCACAAATTTTTAGATGACAAACATTCGCATAATATATGTTATGTTGGTTAAATTTTTGGCTCGCAAAAGTGCATAAAATCGATTCTAAATCCATACACTGTTGATGTAAATTATCTATGGTTGCCAACTGATTCGAAAGTAACACGTCGAGCTAAAATGTTAACTCTAATGTGAACTAGTTTGTTCAAATTTGTTAACATTAGTCGTAATGGAGTTAGTATCAAAGAAACAAGAAACAGCTGAAGAAACTGAGAAACTACCAATTGCCCAAACTTCAACCATGGATAATCCTTCAACTTCTTACGAAGCAAACCTACAAGAAGCTCAACTCGGTGAAATTCGTCCCCTCACTACCCACACATGCCTTCTCTGTTGTAAACTCCATCCTATGTCACTACAAAGCGAAGCAACCAAACCTATTTTTTAGAATCTCCGACATATAAAGTCTTGACAATCGAATAGCTAATGACCTTGGCTCAATGCACCATTCATTCCAAAAATTCGTCTGGAATCTTATTACCAATTTTTCTACTCATAAAAATCTTAATTTGAAATAATATTTAAATTATTAATAAAAATATATATAATAAATATTATGAGTCAAGATGGTCATTAATATTATTTCAATCTAATTGTTTTTTGTTAAGACAAAAATGCACAAATGGTCCCTGTGGTTTGTCGAAAATTGTCACTTTTATCCAAAAAGGTTTGGACTAACACCAAGGGTTCAAACTTTTTATTTTGTTGCAAGTTTGGTCCAATTTGTTATGAACTTTTTCATAATAACGATTTTGCCTTTACTTTTTCTTTTTCATTTTTATTTTATTATTTAAAGATTTTTCTGATTAAAAAGAAAAATAAAAAAGAAAATTTGCCTTTTCTATTTTATTTTTATAGAAAATAGAAAATGAAAATGCAAACTCTCTCTCTCTCTCTCTCTCTCTCTCTCTAAAAATTAACTTATCCATCTTATCTTCTTCCTCCCACTCTTGCTCTCGATACCATTCCATACCACCAAATGTCCGCCATTGCTACTTGCTTGACGCAAAACTCCACCTAGTAACCTTCATTCTCGTTTTCACCAACCCGTCGTCTCCTCTTCCACTGCTGTGAACCACCATTGACGAAACCCTAGTCGTCGTTCATCCGTTCCAGCCGCTATCTCTAACTTCCACAGCTGGAACCAGATTTGCACCACCGTCGAAGAAGGATAGAGATGAAGGTCGAGGTTGCCTGAGCCACAACAAACCCTAGGGTCACCCCCATCTTCAGATCTGGAAAGACGAAGCTCCATCGTGGCATTGTTAGGGTTCTAACGCAATTGAGTTGTTGAGGCGGTCGTTACCATTTAGAGCTCCAAGCATTCAGATTCGATGGTGGTGGTGGAGGTTGCAAATTTCTTTCTTGGTGTGCAGGTTTCTTTCAAGTTTAAAGTAACAAGAGAGAGAGAGAGAGAGAGAGAGAGAGAGAGAGAGTATTATTTATTTTTTATTTATGTTATAAAAAATTATAAAAATAAAATCGAACATGCAAAATTTCTATTTTATTGTTCTTTTAATCAAAAAAAATATTTAAATAATAAAAAAAATTGAAAAGGAAAAAATATAAGGGCAAAATCGTTATTATAAAAAAGTTTATAGCAAGTTGGAATAAACTCGTAAAAAAATAAAAAATTTGGATTTGTAGTTTTATTTCAAACATTTTTGAATCAAAGTGATAAATTTCAGCTAACCACAAATATCATTTATGCAGGTTTATCTTTTGTTGATAACTACGATCAAATCCAAACAAAATGGTAGTTACAAAAATATAAATATATGAGCGCCATGTCTTATATATCATTCAAATATTAAAATAAAATATGTAAAAGTGACATTATTATGTGTTTTGTATTATTTTATACTTCCCCGATAACGTCTTTACATCCAAAATATAGTTACCGTTTAGCGATTAACACTCACGTTAGGCCTGTCTTACTTTTTTTCATTATTTTGTGCTTTTAAAAATTAAATTGCATGAGTCGTTATGTAAAACCACAAGCCCAACTTTTTCCCATAACAATATATAAACGGGTCATCATGCTTTTATACTTTTTGATTATATATTTACAAAAAAAAAATCCTATTAATCGTGTGTTTCTACATTAATTTTTTTGAAACTACATTATATTTGTCTTATTTAAACTAAGTTAACCAAATCATGAATAACAGTTTTTTTAGATTGCAAGATGTTGTATATGTTGTAATTACAAGATTATACAAATAATGAACAAGAAAATTGAAATATTGTAATTGATTTTTTTTTTGTTTTAATATATGTTATTAGAAAATCTGAAAATACTACTGTATTATCTTAATAATTAGCATGCCTTTTTCCTTTTTCTGTTATTTATTAACGTATACAAACTTTTAAGTAGGCAACATATGGTTATTAAAGTAGTTGTTGACCCAAAACAAAACACCCACCATTTGTGAACCAAACAACTCCATCCATCTCATCAACTCCATCACACGACCCTCTATATGTGCCCCCATATGCACACACTCCTCTTCATCAACTACACACATCTTCCCTTTCTAACAAAAAACACCACCACCCAATGGCGATTCTCAAGTTATCCGCTTCTACCATTCTCAAAACTACAATTTGCATCTTCTTGCTAGCCATTTCTCTAGAATGTTCCAGTGGGGCCCGAATTCTCATAGATACAACAGACGATGACACAACATCTATCGCACCTGCGATCCCACTCCCTACTAATCAGCCCGAAACGACTAGTGGTCCAATAGACGAGGATGACACCCCTGACGAAGACCCAACACCTACATTACCAAGTGGTCAGATTCCTGCCACTGTGGCACCTGCGCCAGCAGTGGGTCCCACTGTCCCACTACCAACTAAAGTAGTACCTATTGTGGCGGCGCCAGTGGCCACTCCTGTTGGCGTAGGCGCTACGACAACAGGAGGTTCAGGTGCCGCTGGTGGTGCCACCGTAGGTGCAGAACACCCGACTTTGAGTTTCTTTATGCACGATGTCATGGGAGGGTCTCATGCTACAAGCAGGGTGGTCACCGGAATCATAGCCAGTTCAAACGCTAACGCTGTTCCATTCTCAACACCAAACAGCCAAGTGTTCCCGATCACCGGTGGAGTCCCGTTGAACAACATCAACGGTATAGTCAACAACAATAACCTCCCTTTCTTAGCCGGTTTCAATGGCAACAACCCCAACAATCCAAATTCCAACACCGTTCTCCAAAACACCGGGAACAACAACGTTGTCAATGGAGGAAACAACCAACCATTTGTTACAGCCGGTCAACTGCCAGCTGGCATAACACTTGAACAACTCATGTTCGGGTCGATCACTGTTATTGACAATGAGTTAACCGAAGGCCATGAGCTCGGGACAGGTGTCATCGGTCAGGGTCAAGGTTTTTATCTTGCAAGCTCATTGGATGGAAGTAGTCATACATTTGCACTCACGACATTGTTTCATGGTAGTGATCATGAGGTTGATGATACGATTAGCTTTTTTGGGGTTCATCGGACAGCTTCTGAGATATCACATATTGCGGTGATTGGTGGGACCGGGAAGTATGAGGAGGCTAAAGGGTATGCGACCATTGAGAGTTTGCCACAGGTGGATGAACACACTACCGATGGTGTCGAAACCGTTGTCCATGTTAATGTCTACCTTACTACAGTATAGATGAATATCGCCTTCTGTTTAAGTTTGTATTATGTGATTCTAGGTTGTGATTGAAGCACTTTCTGTTTCATTTGTTGTATCTTGGAGTGATTTGTAATCAAAACGTGTATTTGTCGATTTTCAAAATTTATCATATTGAGCATCGTTTTTATCTATTTTACCTCCAACTGAAATAAAACTAACGAAATAAATAATTAATTCCGGGAAAGAAAAAGAGTGAATATATATCAACATCAAGTATCAACTCTACAAAAGAATTTCTAAATCTTGATAATTATTAATGATTTATGTTAGGTAATTCATTAAAAGTAGACAAGAATATTATAATTAATATCATTATGAAAGTTTTGAAGAGAAAAGCCTTGAAAGTGATAGTTTTGATTACCATTTGGATGATCCGGAGGTTTTCGGTGGTTTTCTAATCTTCTAATTTCCTAGAAATAGTACTACTGAAAAAAAATGTGATCACTTCTTTTGAATAGGAACAAAAACATTAGACTTTGTTGTTACAAAACCCATTGTTTTATCTTCTTTTGTAACTGTTCTATAACCTTTTTGCTAGTTGGTTTTTATTTAATCCTTCAATCCTTCAAAAAAATGAAAGCATTACGAATTAATGGTTTTATTGATATATTTTTTTTTCTTTCTAAAATATAATTAAAATAAAGTAAAGCTACTATGAAGCTAGATTAATTAAATGTGAACACTCAATTTGAGAAAGTTTTCTCTTGAACATAAAGATTATACTATACCTACACATCACATATCAAATCAACATTCTTACACCTTGTTCTCGAGTGTAAGGGGAAGAGAGACTGGGGAGGCCGTAAGGGGAAAGATAGTAAGGATATGGAAAAAGAAAGAAGAAAAGATAGATGTAATGTCGGGTTTAAGGGGAAGGAGAAATTTCATTGTCAAATGACGTTTTTACCCCTAGGTAGGGTTCATTAGCTTCATCAGAGAGAGAAGATGAATGAGAGAAGACGATGAACATTAGTTCGATGGAGTGAAGAACAGGTTCTAGGAGAATGAAGATAAATATGTTGTTAAGGTAATTAGATTTTCTTCAATACCCAAAGAAATATAAACGTATAGTTGTATTAAATATATAATTGTTAGTTTAGAAACTTAAGTAGAGATAATTTGTTACCGAGAAATTAAATATCCTTCCATTTTTTCTTTCTATCCATGTAAATGATGACATGTGTCATATTTGGATAAGATTAATGATATTTTAATACACTTGTTATCACTTCAATTACATAGGAAGATATCACTTCAACTAGGTAGGAAGATACGTAGCAAAGAAAGTAGAAGGATATTTAATTTCTCTTTGTTACTTAAATCGACAAAACTAAGATAATTTATACGAATCAATTAACCCTTCAAACAATAAAAAGTTGGAGGAATTGTTTTGGTAGATAGTCACCTATTCCAGAAAGGTCTTCCAAGCAAACCAAACATACACCTTTTACCTTTATGCACTGTCAAATCTACAAAAATGACAATGATATTTGTTGATATACACACTCTTAAACTATATGCAAATCAATCTCTATAATCATACCCTATATTTCTTTAAAAGAATGAAAATAATATTCAAAAAGCAACCAGCTCTAATGCAAGCTCATTGAACAAAAAAGCTTCAATCTCTACAACAATAGAATCCACTTCCTCCCCCAACTCTTCTAACCATGGTTCCTTCCCCACAGCCTTCTCAGATAAGTCAGCGTTAACACTGACTTCCTTTCCTTCACTAACTACCATTTTCCACAGTTCTTCTTCAATGGCGTTTCTCCTCAAAATGCTACTCATTTTTCTCTTCAAAAGCTTCGAGTATACTATAAATTCCACATGTTGTCTGAGAATCTCTGATAACCCTAATTTTATACGATCAAACAACAACCGCCTATCCGCCTTATTCCACGACTCTTGCTTCCGGTATTTCTTCTCTAATGTTTCAAAAATCAAGGGGCTCACAATGTGTTCGACGGAATGCCATCTTTCGAAACTTTCAATTTCATTGAGCACGTTGACAAGGTACGAAAATTCTTGACTTTCTTTTGGTCCGAAGCATCTTTCGGTTTCGGCAGCATCCTCGTCACTTGATATGACGATTTCAGGTTTAGATTGGTTTTCTTCCGATTCTGATTTCAGAATCTGAAGTTTCAAATACAAACCATGGAGATCAGTGCTAAATTTATCACCGTATTCATCGATTGATAAATTGTCTGGTTCCAGGACTGAATTTGGACTCGGATGATGAGCTTCAGTCGTGTTGCTTCCATGTTCATCATCGATATCGATGCAATTTAAAGACGTGAATCTGTCTTCACATGGTGAATCCTGCAAAATATGCGACGACATATGTTTAGCTTCAGAAAAGAAAACCATAATGAAAAGCAGCAAGTATTACCTGTTCAAAAGAAACATCCAAAGAACAGGGAAAACATCCTTCTTTTGCAGAATCGTTGCATTCTACTTTCTCATCTATTTGTTTGATCCCTTCATTACCAGAAGAAAATTCAACATCCTCAGAATTTGTCAACACATTGTTGTGTTGTCTCCCAGAGGTGAATCCCAAATCATGTTTAGACACTTTCTTGAACTTTTTATTGGGAAGAGAAGAGATGTTAAATCGTTTATATACCAATTTGGTGGCAGATTTATCTTTGCAATCTTGTGTTCCTAATTCTAATCTCTGCTTTGACGCAAGACCCGCCATTGAAGGCACCTCACTATGATCACAAACCCGTATACCAGACCAAATTTCTTGACAAACTTTGGGCCTTTTTGATCTTTCTAAAAGCTGCTTCTTGAATTCCCACCCAAAAGTAGTACTTCTTTTCTCAAGATACCGTAAAGAAACATCCTTACTTGAATCATTTAATGTTGAATTCGGTTTCTTTAATACCTCCCGATTCTTTTGCTTAACTTTACTCCATCTTCTTCCTCGTGAACCTACAGAAGCAGATTTCTGGAGATAGTTTTCAGACAACACTCTTTTTGGTCTAGAAACTGGCTGTTGCTTCAATGGCACCTCATGAAGACCCATTAACTTTGCAATGACACTTGGCTTGTTGTTCCTTTCGGTTCTTATCATCTTCAACAGCTTCGTATCTCTATGCAGAAGTTGTATCGATAACAAGGCAAAGTGATTATCTGCTGCTAAAAAGGAAAAATACAGAGAAAACGTCATCATGAGAGCATCATAATTAAAGAAGAGTATTATATGCAGGAAGTAAGTAAACCCACATTCATGTTTAGAAAAAAAAACACAATCATTCAATACGCACTTAACCAAACCAAATGAAAGATTGAAACACATCAGTTTATGAAAATCATAATTGATAATCAATCGAATTTCACTGTTCACATGCTTTAAGAACAGGAAACGATATTGAATGAATGAAATCATACCTTATGGGATGGATTCGGCTTATCGAACTAACTGATCAATGAGTTTGTGATCATCTAAGTTTCTGATTCGTAATCAACCTTGATTATGAAACTAAACGAATCCCGAGAGGATTGATGAAAATCCCCCGAATGATTACTGATTTCAGGATCCTGAAAACGCGAAAGATTTCGATGAATCGAGGTAAAGAAGGTGGTATTATTATGACAGGAATGGAATTACGATAAAGAAGAATGAAATGAATAAAACGGTGGCTAAATTGAATTGATATTAGAGAGAAATTAGGGTTTATCATTTATTGTAGGTTTGAATTTATTTGATTACATCACTGGCATAATTTTCTAGAGGGAATCCTTAGCATGCTTCCGATTTTGGAGTTTTCTTGTAAGAATGAAATCACATTTTTACACGTATATGAAATATATTTCAAAAGAAACCCCTGTATAATTCCACTTGGCACGTAAGATCCTTATGTACTGTTGTATAAAGGATAAACTGATGTTTATGATGTTTACAACATGACTATTGATTTGTCTTATTTAGATCGATATTCTTTTCTTTTTCATACATAACTACAAAAAGTCTCGGTTTCATTTGGTAAAAGACAGGTTGACATTCTTTAGTCGGATCATCAACATGCACACCATGGTATAACAATATTAAATTGATTACAATTGTATATTACTGAAACATATATGCAACACATTTGATATAGATATATGTACTTTACAAAAGGTTTAATGTTGTTATATTTTATTGAAAATTTAAACATATTTTGCATGGTAAATAATTTACTATTTTCGTAATAACTAAAATGTGGATGAGATGACACGATATTCGAATATAATTGTTAAGAAGTATTAGGCTACGTGAATGATAGAATATTAACCAAACAATATAATACTCCATGGTCGGCGCCAACTGGGTCCATCACTTTTAATTCCACTATACAAATGAAAACAACCACATAGGTTTCATTTTGCTATAAACAAAATGTACTTTAACATGTAAACCTTAGCTTTATCATCAAGACAAGACAAACTGATAACAAAATATTTTACATTGGCTGATCACCTTCAAATGTGTGTGGTTCACTCTAATCTCCGGTTTAATCTTCTTTATCTTATCTTTCACTAATTTATTTCGTTTAATTTTACATATTACAATAATTATTCAAATATAAATTATATATTACGCAATTACTACTCTAAGTTTAATATTCTCTTTCATAAATAAAAATAGTTAAATATAAGGTAATTATTTTCGGGGTTCTCGCGGGGTATTCGGGACGGAGCCCTCCGCCCCCGCTCCAGAAAAATAAATGGAGGTAAAACCCGTCCTACCCCGTCCCGAACCAAAAACATTGTAAAAGTATCCTCGTACGAAAACAAGGTCTCATGGGGTCGAAGTCTTATGTGAGGCTTTTGATAGCTCTAGGACTAAAACGAATATATATATATATATATATATATATATATATATATATATATATATATATATATATATATAGAAGTAAGTTCAAATAAAAACAGTAAATAGTGTGAGAACGTAAAACACTATGTTTATGTTATTATTCTGTAATGAATTTTGTATATGTGTATTGTTGAACTAATTCTAATATAAATATTAACTTTCGATTAGTCATATATTCATTACAATATTATTATTCTATTATAAACTTATATATGTGCATTTTTGTAGTAAATTCTAATTTTAATTTTAACCTTTGACTATTCATTTATTCTTTGCTGAATAATGACATAAAATTGTCGATACAAAATTCATTGCAGAATAATAACATAAAAAAGTGTTTTTACGTTCTCACACTATTTACTGTTTTTATTTGAACTGTCCCCTATATATATATATATATATATATATATATATATATATATATATATATATACACATGAGCGCGCAATAAGACATCTTGTGGAATAACCCGTTAAACGTATTATAAATTATTATAGAATAACAATACAATATCTATACGGTTCTGTATTGTAAATTAATTTTCTAGTTATAATAGAATTAGATTAATTTAGAAATCAGTAACAAATATATTAAAGAGTACATCTACGTAGGTGGTGCCCTCATTCTTTAAGGTCGAGAGTCTAAGTCCCGGAGATATAAAGAATTGGATGTTAGTTTAGGAAATATTTATAGTGATGGGTTAAAAGAAAAGAGTGAATCTACGGACTCATCATGGGTTGTCCTCACATTTACAAAACTCATCCTTGGATTATTTCTCAGCAAACACTATTAGCCCTTACAAATATCTCATGTTGCAAATTTGCATTCTTAACTTAACTTTGACAAGTTTATAATAATTATGTTCCTGCTTTTATTCTTGTTAATCAACTGTTGTCAAATGAAAGGGTAAAACGGGTAAATCATAGGAAATAAAAGTTTACTGTAAACCGAAAATGTAAAATTAATAAAACTACTTTTTAAATTTGAACAAAGTAAAATCTATAACTATCTGTAATAATACATTTGATAGTCACTATTGGACTCCATGAGTTTTTACCCATTTTGGAACATAAATACTGTGTATTTTCCGAAGTTAAAGTGGAAATATATTAACGTGTTTAGGCTTTCCTCCAAAATATCTTCATTTTGGTATATCCAATGTTCAAATTTCATATACCAATTGCACAATGAAAGCCGAATTAATCACCATGGCGACCGTTACAATTTTGGTACTTAAAATCACTTATTCACCGTAAAGATGACTGTTACGGGTTTATTTTTCTGTATAAATACTACCATATAATATACAAAAAAAGTTAAACATATGAACCAAAAAACACCATTATGCTTTCTCTATGTGCACCATAAAGCTCCTATGAAAAAATTCAAGTTTTGCACCACGGTAAAGTTCAAGTCTAGTATATTGGACAGTTTCAAAAAATCGTTTTTGATTGTTGTATCCTAGCCCCCTAGGAGACAGATGTCAAATACTGTGAACGAAATCTCTTTTAAGGAAATCACGTTTGCATTAGCCTTAGTCAACATGTCACTGTGTAACACCTTTTGTATGAGACCGTTTGGGTCAAAGTATTGGATCATGGTTTTTGTAGGAATGGTTATGTGGTCACGGAGTGGCGCAGAGGGTAGCCTTGTCAGTTAGACTCTTAGGAACCTGGTAGCTGGACCAGGTGCGAGACTGGAAGTCTCAGCGGTGGCTGGGGATCTTTATATCCAGGTTTAGTAAAGGGTTGTCGGGAATCAGAAAATTTCGGATGAAATGCAAGTGTAAATCCTTGGATCTTCGGTTACGAATGGTGTACTGAGTTGGCTTTTGGTAGAAACTCGCGTTGGGAATCGCGAGTGTATTTGTACAATGCCTTTATTTCAGTAAGATATAAATCAAGGAATCTGTATGCCAAGGGCATCAGCTGAAGGGTTCAGAGGAAAAAAAGGGATGTTTTTGGTTCTAGTGGTAGGAAGAGCCCTTGTGATCGTGTTTTGGAATGATTCTACCTGTGTGTGGGTCGAGCAAGTTTGGAATTTCAGAATTATAGCAGAAGCGTATCGGTTCAGCAGATAAGGAAGCAATGATTTGTTCAACACTAGAAGGTTTAACTCCCAGATTGTCTCTCGTTGTTCATTATGTTCATGGAATCGTTAACATCAGGATGAGCCTCTTCTCGAAGGAATATCTAATCCCTTTCGTCAAGTGAAAAGTTTCCGACATCAGCGAATGGTCTGTGATTCTATTTTCTAGTGGGGACCCTAGGTAATCGGAAGTTGAGTAGTCAGTTTGGAAAATAAGTGGAATGGAATTAGCAGTAGTTTGGTATGGGCGGTCTGTCGGAGAGTCAGATCAATTCGAGATTTCAAAATTCGAGTAGAGTAGAAAGGGTTATTCTGCAGGGGATTAATTTAGGCTGAGAAAGGGTTCGTTCATCATCAGGTTTGGAGAGCCCTGTTCAGGTTGGGTTCGGTTGCCTTTGGGAAGGCTGATGTATGCTCGGGGTTGTGGTTGTGTTTCTCAGGCTGTCTAGCATGCCTGGGATGGTAAGGAATGATTTTGAAGACGAAATCTGATTTAAATGGGGGAGAGTTGTAACACTTGATTCATTTTACTTTTCAGTTTAGACCCTTGGGGTGTAATGTTTTGCAGAATTGGTCCTTAAGGGCAGAATTGCCAACTTCAGGAAAGATGGAGTACGATGGGCGTACTCCTTGTACGCTGGGCGTACTAGCGGATGGTGGTCGTGGAGCTCATCCACATACGATGGGCCTATGTGGAGTACGCTTAGCATACGTGAGCAAGTTGCAAACCCTAATTTTAAGGCTTGTACCCTATATAAACCATAAGAGAGTCCATTTTGGCCTTGTTTAACCAGCCTCCATACCTTTGAAAACCCTAGTTCGTGCCTTGACTTTTTGTGGTGCTTTTGAGCTATTGTTTTGATCATTGGTGGGTGTTGTGCATCTTGAAGTGGTAGAAGAAGAAACTTGAAGACTCATTCTTTGGAGGAGAGCCTTGAGATCCAGCTATAACACCTTCATTTCGTGGCTTTTGAGGTATAAAGTTCAAAGCTTGTCATATAATTTCTTAGATCTATTCCTTGGCTTGCTTTTGGCTATTTTGGTTCCTTTTTGGTTGGTTTTGTGAGCAAAAGACGTTTATGGAGCTTATCGTTGTAAATCTGGGCATATTAAGGGTTTCTTAAGCATAAAGGTGCAAACTTTATGGTGGGTTTGGTCTCATGCATGTGTTAAGTCATTTATTAAGCTCTTTTGAGCTCTAGAGCCCCATTAAGCCATGCATG